TGAGAGAATTTATTCAGCAAACAAAGATGTAGATAAAAAAGGGAAACAGAGAAGTCTATAAATTTTGAATGTGGGAGATGCTTTGGAAGGGCTCTAGACTCAGGAGATTGAGTTTTCTGTGCCCTCTCATTTAGAATTTAATATGTTTGATGATCCTTTTTCCCCCCAAGCATCTTCCTTGCAGTTGTTTTACTGCCAGAGTCAGGGGGCAGGAGGCTGCTGCTGAAAAAGCACCAAATTCTGTAATCATGGTGCTGGGAGGGGTTTGGCTGTGGTCCCTCAGGCTGGATTTGGTGGGATGTGCATCCCGCTGGTGGAGCGTGCTGCTGCAGGGGATTAGCCAGGGAAAATAGGTTATTAAGTGTTAAAACGTGATTAGATGTGGCTGGAATGGTGCCTGCAACTGCTGGGGCTGCTTCAAAGAATCAAAAGCCTTTGGATTCCTCTTGCTGTTGGTTCCTGCAGGGTTGGGTGTGAGGTGCTGGAGGAATTTGCTGCAAACCCAGGGGAGGTGTGGGACAGGTCCTGAAATGGCTGGAGCAGAGCCCTGCCCTTGTGCTGGGCTCCTGCTGCCTGCAGAGGGGTCTGATTTGATTTCAGCTCACCTTGCTGTTAGCTGCCTCTCTTGGTTTGGAAAGNCTCTGGATGCCGCGGCACTGCCCTGGGACTGAGGAACTTGGCCACGGGGAGGGCACAAAGCACTGGCAGAGGTGTGAGGGCTCCCAGAGCTCAGGAGTGGAGCAGGGAGTGACTGAAGGGCACACTTACCCCGGGGGATGCTCTTTGCCTGGCTGTTTGCTCTCCTAACTTGGTTTGAGTTCCACACTGGGGAGGTGGCTGGCTGGAGCATCCCTGTGCCCTGGGCATCACCCCTGAGGCAAGGGAACCCCATCTCCAGCAGTGACCTGGGGTCAGGGGAGAGCACAGGGATGGCAGGGTGATCACAAAGTCCCATCAGGGGTGAGGATGAGTGTGGGTGAGGGGTTTGTGGTGGCTGGATGGTCTCTGGTTGCACAGTCCTGGCCATGTGCCCTGGGCTGGCTTTTGCTCTCCAACCAGTACAGACCAGTGTTGGTGCCACTGGAACTACCAGCGTTACCTTGATTTAACATCCAGGCTCTCCCTGTGCAAGAGGAGGAATTCCCAAGCCCCTTTCCTTACTGTCCCACAGTGCCAGGACCTCTGCCCCTCCTCCCTGCTGCTGCCATGAGTGTCACCCCCCATGCCACAGTCCTGTGTCACCTTGCTCCCAGCCCAGCGTGGCTGAGTGTTGGCACTGCCCAGCTCCAGCCTGGTGCCAATCAGCTCTGCTCCCCTAACATCAGCACCCCCATCCTCAGCTGTGGGTCAGGGATAACCCTCAGCAGTTTTATTTTATTTTATTTTATTTTATTTTATTTTATTTTATTTTATTTTATTTTTTATTTTAATTTCTTTTTATTTTATTTTAATTTATTTTAATTTATTTTAATGTATTTATTTGCATTTTTTATTTTTTTATTTTTATCTTCAGTGGGAGAAGGTGCTGGCAGCCAGGACGGGTCCTGTAAATGCACAGGTTCCCTGCTGCTGGCTGGGCAAAGCCTCCCTGCTCTGGGAATCCCTGGTGTGATCCCCTGCCTGATGGGGATCGGTGCTATTGGCAAACAGCAGCAGGAAACCTGACCCTGTGCACCAAAACATTTCATTAACCTCCCTCCAGACACGCTCAGCAAAGCCCTGAGCTGGGAGAACACCTGCAGAGAGGGAGCAGATCAGTCTGGGGAACCACAGCAATGGCCAGGGGTGGCTCTGACTCCATCTCAGCACCAAAGGGGTCTCACTGGTGATGGTGAGAGGCAGGAGAGCTGGGCCCAGGCAGGAGAGCTGGGTCCAGGCAAGAACTCACCAAGGAGCCCTGGCTCAGCTCACCCAGACCTTAGCTCTGTAGCTCTGTTCACCAGCTGGGAACCCAAGCCAGGCTTTCTGTGGGATGTGGCAGTGGTCAGGGAGAGCTCACTCTGGTCCCTGCATGGATCCCATGGCTGAGCATCAGTGTGACAGCACCACAACCCTGTCAGATTCCAAGCAAAAAGAGTTTGAGGGAGAGGAGTCATTCATCAGCCTGACTTCTGCTGGTAGGAATGGTGGCTCAGCTTTTGGGAGTTGAAATCTTGTTGAATTAAAGGTGTTACCTGACCTGCAGCCCTTGGTTTCCCCCTGCAGGATTCTCCCTGTGGGTCCCAGCTGGGTGATGTGGCACCATGGGCACAGTCCCAGTGTCACATCCCCAGTGCCACAGCCCCATCCTGCTGGGTGTGCTGGCCTTCCTCCCCCAGCACATCCCAGCTCAGCACTCAGACCCTCCTGGTCACATCCAGCCTTCAGTTCCATGGGCCAAAATCCTCCATGACGGGGGCATCACTTCCAGTTTTCATTTAACACTTGAGGAATTTCACTTTCTTTTCTTTTGGGCACCAAGCCAGAGCCCAGAACTGTGAACATTTCAGTTTGGGGAGGATGTGGAGAGTGACTTGGCACCAAACTGTGCCAAAGTGATGAATTAAACGTGACATGGATGACAGGCAAAGCCAGCATGCAGGATAGATGTAATTTGGTCCTTGGAACTCCAGAGTCTTCAGAGAGTTTTGATTTGGGGGGAGAGAACCCAGTGCATTTGGACCATCTGGGATCTGGTATGTTTTACCTATTTTGTGGTAAATTTGTTTTCTGTATAGGGAGTTTCCACTCAGGTGAGTCTGGGCCAGGCACTTTTATTCACCTGGAGAACAGGAGCAAAATAAAGCATTTGGGGTTCTCAGGCTGAAAGCCCAGCCCTGCACCATCCCTGCTCCCTGGAGCACTGCTCTGGGCTGGATCCACTGATCTCCCAAGGACAGCAATTCCCGTAAAGCTCCAATTCCTCTTTTTTTCTTTTTTCTAATTTTTTTTAAGGGAAAAAAAAAACATCTTGCATCTCCCCTACTCTCTCTGTAATCCAGTCAAAATGAAAAAGGTTTAGTTTCCGAGGGAGATGGTGGAGCACAGATCACCTTTGTAGCTTTTTCTTCCCTTCCCCTTTTTCTTTCTGCTCAGTGTTTAAGGATCCCTCCTTGCCAGACTATAATTATGAAGATTAAAAAGCATCACCAAGGTCTTGCATAATGATGAAGATATTGTCAATAGGAGGTGTGAGAGCAGGATCGGGGCTGAGCATTTATTGAGGTGATGCTTTTTTAAAATGGGAATACCAGGACAAGGCCATGGGTGGGTTTTGGACCAGGATGGACCCTGGGGTGCAGGACCTGCTTGGGCTTTGAGCTCTTTCAGTTTGTTTCTTCTCCAGCCTGCTGTTCTCTCCGGACAGCATTCCCTGAGGGCAAATTCAGCCCTCCAAAGCCAAGCTGGGTGCAGCAATGCCCTCCAGGGTGCTCCTGAGAGCCTTTCCCTGCTCTGGGCTCAGGCTGTGGCAATGGCAGATGAGGCACTGACGTCCCCAGATCACCCCCTCTCCAAGCTATTTATGGGACACCACGTTACTCTGCAGCATCAGGGACGCTCTGCTGCCTCCACCATCACCTCCCTGCTGGAGCTGGACCTCAGCTCTCTGCAAACCTTCCTCCCAGCCAGCTCTGGAGGGGCTGAGGGCTGTGTGGTGTCTGTGTGCACATCCCTCAGCTGGGGAGGGGGTGGCTCTGCTCCGCTGCTCGCTGCTTGTGGGGCTGTGCCTGCAGGGATGGGAGCCTGGATCAGTGAGTGCACAGTGGTTTAGGTATCCTGTAGAAACTACTTTCCACTCCTCTAGGGGCAGCTCATTCAGAAATGAAGGGATCTGAGCTGCACGGGGATGTCAGGCAGTGCTAGCAATGCACTTGAGCATCCCCTCGCCAGGTGGGTCAGCTCTGCCAGGTGGGTCAGCTCCAGTTCTCCCAGGTTCAGTTCTCCCAGGTGGGTCAGCTCACCCAGGTGGGTCTGCCCTGCCAGGTCTCCCAGCTCTCCCAGATTCAGCTCTCCCAGGTTCAGCTCATCCAGGTGGATCCCCTCTCCCAGGTGGGTCAGCTCTGCCAGGTGGGTCAGCTCTGCCCGGTGGGTCAGCTCACCCAGGTGGGTCAGCTCCAGCTCTCCCAGCTCCAGTTCTTCCAGGTGGGTCAGCTCTCCCAGGTTCAGCTCCCCCAGGTGGGTCAGCTCCAGCTCTCCCAGCTCTCCCAGGTGGATCAGCTCTCCCAGCTTCAGCTCTGGCCTGGCTGTCAGGGAGGGTTTGCGCTGGTGCTGGGTGTGCTGCTGGCACAGCTCATTGGTGCTGACAAGCCCAGGGTGTTGCTTTTACCCCTTGATTAGGTGGGAGGTGAGAAGACTGCCTTGCCCAGAGCCAGGCGCCCCTGATCCCTGGGGATGGGGCAGGGCTGATCCATGGGGATGGGCAGGAGTTAGGGGTCTGTCTGCTGTGAGCAAGGCTGATCCTCTTGGAGCAGGCAAAGAAACCCTTTGTTCCTGAGCTGGCTGCTGCTGAGATGAGGCTGCCCTGGATCTGGGCTCAGGTGTGTGCTGTCTGTGTGACAGCAGCATCAGAGCTGCCTGCACGGAGGTGGGAGCTCAGGGCATCCCCTGGCAGTGCCCAGGAGCCTCTCCAGGCAAGGAAAGCCTGGCTGTGCTGTGCAGGGACAGCAGGGAGCTCCTCCACCAGATCTCCCTGGGGAAGCCCAGCCCTTCTTGAGCTGCTTGACCTGGCACTTGAGCTCTCCACAACATCTCCAGGCACTAACAAGGGCTTTGAAGCAGGTCACTTTATTTGTTAGCCCTTTCCAGCAGCAGATAATTGCAGTGCAGAGCTGAAGGCTTTTCCTATTCCTGTGCTTTTCAGCAGTGCAGGATGCTCAGTGGAGGGCTGGGGGCTCCTCTGGCCCTGGAACAGCCTGGGGGGCTGTGCTGTGGCGGCTTCTGAGCCCTGTGGAGGATGCTGAGAGCTTGCAGGAGAGCTGCAGGCTGCTGTGCTCTGTGCTTTGCTTCCCTTTGGCTCAGGGATGCTGAAAGGCAGTAATGCCAGGGCACCCCTGAGGGCTCCCTGCCCCACTCAGGATTGATTTACCTGTTACAAACCTGTTGTTTCTCCAGGCTGGCTGGGGTTGTCTTTTCTCTTTCTCCTCCTGGAGATTTCCCCTGGATTTGAATCACGCTGCTGCTCTGGGAGTGTCACACTGACACCTGGCAGTGGCTCTGCCAGGGCTTTTCCCTTTTTTTTTTTTATTTTTATTTTCTGTGGCTGCTGCACCTCCAAGGAGTCCTGGGGATGATGGCAGCACCTCTGAGCAGTGGAAGGAGGCCAGACATCCATCCCTTGGCACAGAGCACTCTGCTTTTCACTCCAGCCTGGCACAGAGCTCTTGCCTTCAGCCCTTCCACCCCCAAAAGAGGGACTTGGCTGAATTTGGGCAGGGCAGGAGCAGTGCTGGGAGCTCCTGTCCCTCCTGGAGGTGCCATCCTGCCCTGTGTGTCCCCTGGGAGCCACTTCCCTGCCAGCCCTGTGAGTAAGGCAGGGCTGGGGTGGCCCCAGGCCACACGAGTGCAGGTCCCTGCTTGTCCCCTTGTGCACAGGGGACACAATGACAGTGCTGCTGGCCTAGTTACAGGGGAACAAAAGGCTTTGTATAAAAAACTAAAAGGGTTTTTTTTTAGATCCTTTGGGAGGAAGGGAAGGTAAAGGTCTCTCTTTACTCCTCTCTCCCAGAGGAACACAGGAATTGTTTAATGTAGTGGTTCCTGTGCTCTGGGCTGCTGGGCTGGCCCTGCTGGAGCATCACAGGGCAGTTGTGGTCTGGTTTAGCTTCCCTGCTGAAGATGCAGATTCACCACTCCCCCTGAGTGCATGGGGGTTTCCTCAAGGCCTCAATTCCTGAATTCCTCAAGGCCTCAATTCCTCACGGCCTGCATTGGAGAGGCTGCAGGGATTTCAGAGGGGCCTCTCAGGCAAAATCCCCTGCTCAGTGCCAGGTTTTGTGTCCTGGGCTCTTTGTGAAGCGTCTGGGGTGAGGTGCTGGTGGGGCTGGGACTGCACAGATGCTGCTCCCTGCCAGGGCTGGGTGAGGCACAGGGATGGAGCTGGGATTGCCCCAGACACCCAAAGCCTCTCCTGCTGCTGTGCAGAGGGATTACCCCAGGGGCACGGGGTGCTGGGGCTGGCTGCTCATCACACCTTGCTCCAGCTCTGCTTTCTCTCTGCAGGATTTTCGTGCTGGGCATTGGATTTTTCACGCTGTGCTTCCTGATGACATCCCTGGGAGGGCAGTTCTCAGCCAAGCGCCTGGGGGACTCCCCCTTCACCATCCGCACCGAAGGTGAGCACGGCCCCACAGCCTGGCCTGGCCCACTGGGAACACAGTGTGTGCTAGAGAAGGCAGGAACCTCCCCTGACATGGAAAATGCAAACCCCCTCCCTCTGAATTATTAAAATTTTGGAATTAAGGGGCTCTCAGGCAAAGATATGGGAGCAGGAATAATAGTTATTAGGGAAGAAAATAAAAAGATAAAATAAACAATGCAGTAAACCAAAGCAACACTGACAGAGTCAGAACACAGCCTGACACCTGACATTTTGAAATTAAGGGGCTCTCAGGCAAAGATATAGGAATAGGAATAACAGCTCTGTACTAGGAAAATTAAAAATACAAATGCAATTGTACAAACAAACAAAACAGCATTGCCAGAGTCAGAGCATGCCCTGCCCCCTGTGTGCCAGGGCGGTGTCCCAGCCCCATCCATGGGGGCTCAGCCCTCCTGCAGTGCCAGCTGTGGCTCTGCTGCAGCAGGGATCCTGCACAAGGGGGGAGTTTTCCTCTGCAGCTCCAGGGCTGCTGCAGATGGGCCTGGGCTCCCTCTGGCCATGCAGGGCAGCAGAAAGCTGCTCCTCTGGCAATGCAGGGGGCAAAGGCTGCTGTGCTGGGCCAGGCTCAGATTGGATCCAGGTAGGAATGCTTGGCTCCTCCCCTGGGCGGAGCATCTCCCCATGGGATGCTGGGATTGGATCAGCCCTGCAGGGACACTCAGTGGCCATGGACAGCAGAGATCTCCTAGAGGGAGGGTTGGTGGGGGAGAGATAAAGAAAAAACTGCCCCAGGAACAGCAGAGAACTGCCCCAGCTCTGACAGATGGTGACAGAACACACACCCCCATTTCCAACCTAAGATCTCCATGTGGTGTCCCCACGTGTTTGGTCCAGCTGAGCTGACGAGTGCCGGGATGCAGGAGGACGGTGCTTGGATCTTCCATTCCTATGGGTGTAGCCATGATATTTTCTGAAAAATCCTTTCCTTAGGATTTTTTCTCCTGAGAAGCCTCAGGAACAAAATGTAAACAATGGTTATCTGCTGCTGTGGAATGCAACAGGTGCATCTGTGATTGGCCTCATGTGATTGTTTCTAATTAATGGCCAATCACAGTCCAGCTGTCCGGACTGTCTTGATCACTCACAAGCCTTTGTTATCATTCTTTTTCTATCCTTAGCCAGCCTTCTGATGAAGGCTTTCTTCTATTCTTTTAGTATAGTTTTAATATAATATATATCATAAAATAATAAATCAAGCCTTCTGAAACATGGAGTCAACATTCTCATCTCTTCCCTCATCCTCAGACCCCTGTGAACACTGTCACACCCAGCTCCTTCCTGGCCCTTTTTGGGATTATCAGGATGGCTCAGAGCCCTGTTGGCCTCTCTTCCGTGTGTGGCTTTGCCCTGTGGCTCCAACCTGGCTGTGCTCACACCCAGAGCTGTGGCAGGTGGGGCTGAGTGCTGGGAATGCTGACCCTGGCTCCCAGCAGGAAATGGGGAAGCAGCAGGA